CTCGCACGTCGTCCTGTCACCCCGCTGAAGTTACGCTGCGGTCACCCCACCGGCCGCGTACGAGTGATGTACTTACTAACCACACACGGCGCCTTGTCAGGGACATAGAGCCTTCACGAAGGAGATACACACGGCTAGTTGTATACGTTGATATGATTATTCAGTGATCGGTTGGACCGCGTCCTGTATTCCGACTCTACATCACTCATGCACGATTAGCGAAATCTTTCTGCGCTCGAGTAAGAAGTTCAGCGCAAGATCGAATCGTTAGATTCATATAGGGGGTTTCATTGGCACCATTATTATAGCTTAATATAATATTTGGTTAGGGAAGTTTGCATTTGATAAAGTACCTACCGTATCAGCCTCACTCATCTGCGCTCCGTATATCATTACAGCTGAGCATTTCGATCTTATTTTAAAAACCCATTTTGCATTTTATCCATTTCTCACGCGCACGAACCTACTCGCTTGCCTGTGCGTATTTCGCCAGCACGCGCATTTTCAATCCTGGTTTACAATTACAAGTGCTGCACACCTTGCCGCCAGGTGCTCAGCGCTGTCCATGTCGTCCTTTACATGGAAGTTTTTACATTTTTCGACAGCTTGTTGCACGCATGCTGATAATGATGAGTTCTTTGTCAGAAGCCGCATCGTTTTACTAGACGGTGAAAAACGTCGATACTTGCGCAGGCAATTTTGTTGATTCTGTAGGTAATACGCGTTCTGCTTTTAAATAAATCGTTTGCGCAATTTATCAGCGCGAGCGGTCTGTATGTGCATTAGCGTGTCCGCGCGTTTGTGTTTGTGATCCATACATGCATGCTGGCATGTATGGGTGTGCCCCGCTATAATATGTTCAGGTGTGGTGGATGAAGTGCCTTAATTTCATGCGGTGTCCCCGTCTATAAAAGAGAGGCTGTGTGGCGCGGAGAGTGAAGGCTTCGCGCGCGACCGTGTGTAAGGTTTATTAACGGGCGCGCGCGCGATTGGCTGACTATAATGAAATTTTATATTCGTATTTATTATTATAAATATTAAATTATAAAAACCCTCACTCGATGGCTAGGATGTCATCGGTGTAAGATGGCGGTATGTGAAGATCTTCAAAGGTTTCTCTATTGGTATATCTGTTGTGCTTTCTAAATAGTTTATGGCGAGCGGCGGCGAAAGGGAGCTTGTCCTATGTTTACCGACGAGGTCATAGATACTCTCTTACAGCCCCGCGACAGTTATTGCCTGTAACCTGAACATGGACCAATATATCGTTCGTAATTTATTTATTGATGGATGAACTATGTTTCACGTATAATCAGTCTACTTAGATTAGCTCTGCACACCCAGCTATCTGCTGTCTTTCGGTCTCTTTGCCGAGTCACCGCAGTGCCGACTCTGTGCAGTATGGTACTCATGTAATAATTTGAAGGTACTACAACTGTACCCGTTGTTTGTTAATTAACGCATTGATTTGTTTGTTCTCCGGGCGTGTTCATTATCGGGGGAAAATGGATTAGACAATAGGTAAAATAATTACCAAACAAACGCTGCAGAATGGCGTAAGTTCATACACTCGTAAGATGGCTGCCGTAAGTGTTGTGTTCTAGATCGAATTCGCCGTGTTTTCTTTAGCGTTCCAGTCGTAGCCATATTTAATTCACCTTCAATATTTTTCTATAGCGATTTTTACAGTCTGCCATCATAGAATCGGAGAAGATACCGCGCGATAGCATGTCTATGCGCGATAGCTTTTCTATTTGCTCGATTTAATTTTGCAGTGTGTCGATGTCGTATTGGCCGTTGCCATGGGATTCTGCTGAAGGTTTATTTGAGAAGGGGTGGCGTTCGTTTGAGTTATTTGAGTTATTGAATTATTTCGCGATCTATTGTGAACCGGTTAGTGCACACGGCTCGGCAGACTCTAGAGAATAAGTTTGCAATCATTGGCATGTGCAAATAGATTTCGAACCGATGATAAAATGCGTGTGTATATTGAATATTTTCCCGTTGTAACGTGCTTTGGTTGTTATCGCTCTACTGTCCGTTCTCGCGCGCCTGCCGTGCTCTAAATAAAATTCGAACGTACACGCATTTGCGCAACGAATCTCTCGTCGGACAAATATCCAGCGCGGATGGCATTCGATTGAAAACGTAATTACGCGCGTTTCGTAGTGATCAGCAGTGGATGTGATGACTTCGACGAATCGAGTTATAGTTCACCTTCGGGCGGTGAAGGAGCAGTGAATCCGTGCGTCTAGTCAGTGTCGCCGGCAGCAGCAGGCGCGGCGCCGCGTGTAAAACGCGATCAAATGCGCGCGAGCGCTCCGAGCGCTTCGAGCGATTGCAAATAAATACGGACAGCGCAGCAGCGCCGTACGCGGTGGTCCGTGTTAGCGGGTGAGCAGTGCGCGAGCGTATGTAGATCAGCGTCAGCACCGCCGTGACGTAGGAACCGTCAGCGTCAGTCTTGGCGTGATCATAAGTAGCGTCAGCGCCGCCGTGACGTATGTAGCGTCAGCACCGCTATAATAACGTAGGTAGCGTCGGCGCCGCCGTGACGTAGGTAGCGTCAGCACCGCCGTGATGTAGGTAGCGTCAGCGCCGCTCTAACGTAGGTAGCGTCAGCACCGCCGTGACGTAGGTAGCGTCAGCGCCACCGTGACGTAGGTAGCGTCAGCGCCGCTCTAACGTAGGTAGCGTTAGCGCCGCCGTGACGTAGGTAGCGACGGCGCCGCCGTGACGTAGGTAGCGTCAGCGCCGCCGTGACGTAGGTAGCGTTAGCGCCGCCGTGACGTAGGTAGCGACGGCGCCGCCGTGACGTAGGTAGCGTCAGCGCCGCCGTGACGTAGGAAGCGTCAGCGCCGCCGTGACGTAGGTAGCGTCAGAGCCGCCGTGACGTAGGTAGCGTCAGCGCCGCCGTGACATCCCGTAGCTAGCGTCAGCTCCGCCGTGACGTAGGTAGCGTCGGCACCGCCGTGACGTAGGTAGCGTCGGCGCCGCCGTGACGTAGGTAGAGTCGGCGCCGCCGTGACGTAGGTAGCGTCGGCGCCGCCGTGACGTAGGTAGA